TATAGTAATTAATATATAATATGTAGTATTGAAGTGGAAGGTGGTGGGGCCCATTTATATATTTTATAAATATATTGGACATTAGTAGTGATCTTATTGGAACATTGGTAGTCATTCCTAGACTCTTCTATAATATAGTAATTAATCATTTTTCATAAGTATAATTAGACATATTTTACTGCTATATATATATATATAGGGAAAATTTCTTGTTTAAGAGAGACAAAATTCATGAGCTATCTTTGTAGGGTGTTTTCACATTCTGGACCAAACTCGAACAATTTAAAGTTACAATCACTTTTGTACACTTATGAGTTGTTTGGTAGAGTATATTAGCAAAAATAATGCATGTCTTAGCTATATGTCTTAGTAGTCCCTTATTTGGTGCATTTTTTTATGCTTAATCCTTGCATTAGTTATACACTCTATTGTGTATTGAAGAGGGTATTACTAATACAATGGATTTCTAGGTATTAGTAATGCAAAGAGATTTAATACATGCATTAGCATGATTAAACACTCAATTACCCCTCAAAATCACTTTGACATCTTTTCCACCATAATTGTGGAGGATATCTTTGTAAATAAATATCTATCTATATATAGTAGGAGAAGTAAAAAGTGACACATATCAGCACCAAAAAAATTCAACAATTTTTAAAATAAAAAATAATTTAAAATTCTTTTAAATTAACTAAAAATAAATAAAAAGGAGTAACCAACTAAATAATTTCATGTTTCTTTTGAATATAATAATCTATCAATATATAATATATCTACATAATAGGAAAGGTAAAAAGTGACACATATCAGCACTACTAAAATTCAACAATTTTTAAAATAAAAAAATAATTTTAAATTCTTTTAAATTAACCAAAAATAAATTAAAAAAAGCAACCATCTAAATAATTTCATGTTTCTTTTGAATATAATAAACTATATATATAAACGAAGAGGTTATAGCGCCTACGTGTCAGCACCAAAAAATTTGTAGATATATTCAATAATAAATAACAATTTAAAAAACAAAACATTTAAAAAAAAACATAAATTAAAAACTGTTTTTAATTTTATTTACCTTAAAAACGGTTGTAAGTTTTAATTTAGCCTTTAAAATTTGTTTACGTTAAAAGAAAAATTGAATTGAATGTTAAAATAATAATTTTTTTATTTTTAAAATGTTTTTTACAGTAATTATTTAAACTAATCCGTAAAAATTTTAAAACAGTTCTAAAAAATAGGGTGTGTGCTTCCATTTTTTAAATAATAATAAACTTTCTTTAAATAATAATACAATAATAAACATTTTTATTAAAATAATAATAAACATTTTAATTATTATTATCAATAATTTAAAAATAATAATAATAATAGGGTGTGTGCTTCCATTTTTTTGGGGAAGTTATCATATTTTTATTTCCATTTTTAAAATAATAATAAACGTTCATTAAATAATAATACAATAATAAAAGTTTTTAGTAAAATAATAATAATAAACATTTTAATTATAATAATAATTAATAATTTAAATAATAATAATAACCGTCTTCTTTTTAAAACTTTTATATAATTATTTAAATTATTTAAATTTTGAATTGAGAAGTTAATTAGTTTTAAAAAATAAAGTTCTAAAAAATAGGGTGTGTGATTCCTATTTTTAGTGGGAAGTCATCTCATTTTAATAATAATAATAATAATAATAATAATCTATATCTATATATATTATCTATCTATATATTCTAGGAGAAGAAAAAATATCACATGTTAGTGCCACAAAATTTTAGAAATTTAAATTATAAATAATTTATATTATAAATTTGAAATTTGAAATAAAAATAGGCACATGCCATCAAATTACACAAATAATGACAAAAGCATTTTTAAAAAACAGATTTAATATTTTTAAAAGATCCAATTTATAAATTTGTAAAAATTGATTGTTTTTTTTTTTAAAAAAAAAACATTTAGTCTATGACAGGTTTAATATTTCAAAACAAATCAAATCAAATTTATAAAAAAAACTTAAATAAGATAAAAGGGCACTTCCATGTGTCCACAATAACCGTCATAATAAATTAATTTAATATTTAAATTTTTAATTGTTTGACACATTTTTTCTCATGTATTAATAAATTTTTAATATTTAAAAGGTTATTACAGTATTTATTTGTGTTTTGATTTTTAAACCAACATTGCTTGAGTTGAGTATGTCTCGGTTGATCTGCACCAAGTAGAAAATAGAGGTATAAGGAAAGTCGAGGAATATGTGTCGATAAAGTTCATGAAGACAAAATTAGAAAGAGTCAATGGAAGACTGTAGCAGTTTTACACAGTTCGAACTCTTGGCTATATTTGGTGTTGCATTTGGTTAACTGTAACACTGTGAAGATATAATTCGAAAGAAGTTAGTGTTTCTTTAGTTGTCACATGAAATTTTTTAATACGTAATAGTATTTTCATGACAAATGAAATTTATCAACTAAAGTGAACGACATCCTGATTTCACTTGAAATGTCGAGTTTACTAAAAATTTTTTTAGCAGATTGCTACATCATATGGGGAAAAAAAGGCACACAGAATTTGTGCATTTACTTAAAGCACAAATAGTTCATCTTTATTGTCGAAGTACGTGGCAACCTCTGCATATGTTTCTATTGTTCAAGCACTGTAGTACGGGTAAGAAGACTGTCTATAACATTAACACCTCAACTCAAGCTTATGGATGAACTCTATCAAATAGCTCAAAACATGAAGCCTTGTAAATACCCATGGCACAAGTTTATTCACTTCACATAATTTTGGGTCTAAAATGCACCATATTTGAATAAGTTACTAAAGAGTGCTACTTTTTTTAAAGAGAAAAGGTCAACAGAGCTAAATAAAAAACAAATTCATATCATGTTTACTACATCTACTCTAGACTTGATACTCTTAATCTCCTGCTTTAGCACATGAAATAGAAAACAACTAATTGAGTGGTTTCCAAACACTTCCCCACAACTAAGTTCCCAAGAGGGATATTATACCATGTCCAAGTTTATTATCCAAATTTGTAAACTACTCTAATCTTATGTAGGGGGATGGATGGTGTGGAAAAAGGCTTAGTAGACAAAGTCACTTCACCAACAAATAGCTATGCCATTTCAAAAAATAGCCAATATCTCATTGAATATAGAGAAATATAATACGAAAGAAAGGCATGCATAACAACCAACCTTTCAGATGAACCGGGAGAAGGAACAACAACATTGCTTTTCCCTAAGAACCTAACATCAATAATTATGTTGCTCGAGCTCTTAAAAAATATAGTAAATTAAGTATTGAAAGGCCAACCAATCCCTACCAACATCATATCCTCCAAATGAAAAAACCACCAAGATTTATGTGGGTTTGCATGTGAGTGTCTAAAGAGGGAACATAAAGTACTTACGGGGGTATGGATGGACCAAGAGCTAGTTCATTTCCAGTTCTATAGTCTCTTGTATTTTCAGGACCTGGCAAGAAAAACTAAATGTATATCACAAATGAGAGGAAAAAATAATTCGAAAAATCGCTATGGCGGGTTCCAAATTCCAGCAATATTAGTCCATCTATGATGATGCCTCAAAGATTAAAGTTGTGATTTCTCATAATATGTTTCTCTCTCTTTTAACACTCTCCAAAATGCATACTTTAACAATTGTAGCAATATTTATTTACTGAACTACAAATGTATAATGCTAAGAATAAGTAGCAATGCACCATGTGCATTCGTGAGAATTTCACAAGAAGATACTGCTAACCAAGTTTGCAACACAATTTATGTACAAAGAGTACCTCTTCCATAAGATTTATTTCTATAGAGAAGAGTGAAACCACACTTCTTGCAAATGAAAGAAAATTACAGTTGAAGATACTAAAAACAGTATATGAGATGATTGCCAGGAAGGAAAGAATCGTGCAGAGCAAGATCCAGATTTCCGTTTTCACATGCTATAGGGTCATGGATGGTGATTAATTTTGTTCCATCTGGAAAGATCCCCTCTACCTAAATTACATTACGACTGAATAGTCACCAGCTACCTTGAACTGCAGATGAACATGACAAAAAGAATCATCAAAGACAGAGAAAATGGGGCATCCGTAGTACCTGAACACAATCCAACAGTTGGAAGATCGAACTTGTCTCCTGAAAACCAAAAAGTTAATTGTAATCCCACTGATCTTCGTCAAAAGCATCAAGTCATTCAAATAATTATATTCTTTGAGGCATTTCGGTCCACTCAAATTGATTTCACCTACGATCGAGTAACATCAGTACTCACGATGCACTCTTTACATCATCCATATTTATTAATTGATTCCCTTCTTCCATTTTCTAGGTGCATGACTTTTTCACTTCCTCGTGCCAAGGCAGTCATATTCTTTACAATTATACATTTCCCTTTATGATTTCTTCCTTCTATTCACAGAAGACAGTAAGCAGGTTTATTACAGGAAGAATTTCAATAATCCATTCACAATATAGAAGGGAAAAGAAGGCAGCTGCAAAATCAACTATCGCAAATTGACCAAGTCATATACCCAAATTACTTACTTACAGAAAGTGATGATCGATGCTCTCGTTGGTATAGCTTTTATATATCCGAGAGAATCTGTTTCTGGTCACTGTAAACACAGGGGATCAGTTCCTAACAATTAACACCGGGACTCACAAATCTGAAATGAAATGTCAATGACTCCAAATATACATAACAATCTAGCATAACCAAACCATTGACAAGCATTAGACTTGAACAACAGGAATACACATTGCTTGCATTCTTTCTAGTGTGCTATTGAGGTGTGACCGAATTAAGATTTTAATTAATTTGAATAATATTGAGAGTAAAATCTAATTGATCAAAGCTAGAGTTGTCTTTCTAACTAAATTAAGTAATATGTCAGATCATGGAACGTTTCATGAAACTGGTGGTGCTATGTACGTTAAGAATGAATAATGTTCTCTATAAGTGTTGACTCAAAGAAAAAGGGAAGAGAATTAGAAAAATGAGTTTCTCCATTCCAATTCAGGTATGACATGACCCATCCTGGTTCCAGCTCGGTTTCAGGCTTGGCCAATTCAAACTAAAAACATGTGCAGACCTGATGAACCAATTTTAGTATTTAAGTGGAAACGAATAGCATTGAAGCAGTAGACTATATTATTCATTGAGTTTAGAAGCTGACTATATACACTATAAAGGCGATGTAAAGAGACTCTGTACGTAAAACAAACGCAAAATTGCACAAAATTTCAATGCTTAAGTGTGGTTTTGTACACACAAATGGAGTTCCTATATTGTCCGCATATTTACAAACACAGAAAATGGAGCTATAAACTGACCCCAAAATAGAAAATTAAAAAAGAACTCTTGTCTCTAAGGTAAGAGATGCAGAAATCCACAAAAAATCTGCAAATTGAGAAATGCCTATATATCGGGATTAAAAAAAAGGATATTTACAATGGAAACGAACCAATTGCGATGTGTTGACATCAATTTTCATCTTTTTCCTCTGTTTTTCTTAATCTTTTCGATCATTATCCTAATTATATCCACATCCAAGCTTAACTATTTGAAGCAAACACAAGAAGGAAACATGAGAAGAAACAACGTGTGTCTAGTTTGTGTTGGAAAGAGTTGGGTTAGCTAAAGTTTTTCATCAGTCTCAATTTTCAGCTCCTTTTTATCTCATGCGAGATAATTATTCCGCAATTATTTGGGTTTTTCATTTCCTAACTTTGCTTTCTACTGTTTGCTTTTGCAATTTGTTTGCATTCCACTAATTATATTTTTATTCGATATTCTGATTTTTTTGTTTGGACCATTGTTTTCTGATGGGTATTATTTTTCTCGTCTTGTGTTTCTCTGTTAATTTCATGCTATGTATTTTTGCGTTCGATTGAGAGTATAGGATAGCAAGATAAAGCTCAAAAATACACACAAGCAAGCTTCAAAATCCAGAAAAGTCCAAAGTTAAGAAAAGAGTAGGTAAGAAGATGGAAAAAAAATCCAAAATTGAAGAAACTCAAACCCACCACAGAGTAGAGGGGAAAACAGGAGGGGTCAAGAGGTGCCAAAAAAATTGTTGGATACAAAGAAAGCACCAAATATTGCAAAATCAAACAGAAGCAGAGTTAAGAAATCAAAATCAATACAAATGTAAAGTATGCTCACCTGGACACAACTATGAAGTCGACAAAAGTGCAAAGAGAAGAACAGGAGAGAGCAGATGGTGACACTTGGTGGTCAGCAATGGAGGTGACGTTAGGATTGATGAGGAAATTGAATGAAAGGTGTCAATTAAGTTTGAGTTTTGTTTTTGGTACACTTCGACCAATAAAGGGTCAAATCTATTTTAAAATGTAATTAAGTAAATTTGAGATCAAATTAATATTTTTAAATTTTTTTAATCTTTTATAAAATATAAAAAAATACTTCATTTTTCAACTTTTATAATTCTATCCAAATCATTTAAAAAAAAAGTAAAAGAAAATAGAATTTTCTTTTCTTCTGCCAACGTTCTCTCCTCTTTTCTTCTTCTTCCTTAGAAAATAAAAAAATTCGACTATCAAAACAAATATTCTCCCCCATTATTTTATCTTCCTTCTCATCTCCGGCTGTGACTCTCTCCTCTTTCAGAACTGAAGATTGTGTTCGACTTAAAATGGGTAAGTCATATTTTTGAAAGATTTTACAATTTTCGAACAATACTAAGTTTTTTTCTTGGGTTAATAAACAATAAATCATTCTATAGATTTGAAAATTGAATAATAGTGTAATGGTACCTATTATTTATTGTTTTTGAAAGAAAATCAACAAACCCAAAAAAGCCCTAATTTTGAGGAAATGTATATGTATTGTTAACATTCAGTGAAAATTCGTTTTTTGTTGCTTTTGTTGTTCTTTTTGTGACAATTTTGTTCATATGATTTTAGAAATATAATTTTGTTCAGTTGTCCAACATATATTTCATTTGTTGAAAGATGTGTCGTATATTGCTACATTTTAGTGATATGTTGGTATATATTTCAACAGAATTGTCATATGTTGGAACATATCACCTATGTGTTAGGGCAACAAAATGGTCATATGTAGTAACAAAAGATTCATCTATGGCACATGAAGATTCATTTGTTGCCACAAAAGATTCATTCGTGGCAACATAAGGTACATCTATGGCAACATAATATCCATCTGTGTCAACATAAGTATAAATTGTTACCCATTATTATTTTATAATCAATTGTCAACTCTCAACCCTTTTTTATTTACCTTGTGGATGAAATGATACAAGAAGTTTCATTCATGACAACAACTCAATCTTTTATTGGTGTTTCTAACATTAAATGCTCTTTTTTATCTATGCGAAGAATGTGAGCAGCAACGTGATTATTTTATTAGTCGTGTTAAAGAACTCACTGATATTTTTAAGAAAATGACTTATAATATTGATGTCTATACATCCAAGAAGATTTCACAACCTTTGAAGTGTAGGAGGTTGAAAAAAATCTATTTCTCAATCACTATCTATAATTAGTAAGAAAAAAATCAATGACTACTGCTCCAGTATCACACTCAAACCCAAAAGGCAAGGAGAAGGAGAAAGAGAACGAGGAGGACGAGAAGGAGAAAGAGTAGGAGGAGGAGAGGGAGAAGGAGAAAGAGCAAGAGAAGGAGAAGGAGAAGGAGAAAGAGAAAGCGAAAGAAAAAGAGAAAAAGAAAGAGAAAAAAGTCGAAGTCGTCAGTTGTGATGTGAAGCAACAATATCCATTTGAAGGTTTTAACATTGACGGCAAGGGTCCAACTGAACTAATGTCATCCTTCTCACAATGGATAAACGAGGGTCTTTACAAGCATCATGCAAAAAAGTAAAGTCGTTCAACTATTATTAGTATTTCTTCTTGGTGTCCACTAAATAACTATTTATAATGATTACACAATTGCAGAAGAGACAAGGACGATCACTACTTAGTCAATTGCTCTAATCTTGAGTTCAAACAACTTGATTTTGTAGTTGTATTTCCAAAGAAGAAGGATTGGTTCTACGTAATGTCTCAACCCAATAAGTGTTGAACTGATGAGGTAAATTCGTGCCCACTTTTATCTTTTGATTAAGACATGAATACATACAAATAAATTGATACATCAATACACTTATTGATACATCTGTGCAGCATGTGGATGTCATTTTATACTATTTGCGGAAGAATTCGAAGCAACAGAGTCATTCTAAATATCGATATACCATTACTAATTGTTTTTTCAAAACATACATTGACAATGCCAGTGTTGTTCCTGAATATGAGAATAAAATCGTTGGCACTATCAAAGGGTTTGGTATACCTGGTGGACTGCCTTGGCACCTCACAGATGAGGTTTATGTCCCTGTAAATTGTAATAGGGAGTTTCATTGGGTTTTGGCAGTCGTTGTATTGAAGGAACGATGCATAAAGGTGTATGATTCGATGTCCTCATTTAGGATTATCAGAAAACTGTGCTCGGAGATTCAAAAGTTGTCTACATTATTGCCAAAGTACCTTGAATTTAGCGGATTTTTTTATCAAAAAGACCGAACCAACTGGTTAGTTCTTGAATCTTACCAAGGAAAGAACAAATCTCACCCATTCGAAGTCAGACATGTTATTGGTATTGCCCAATAAGCAAGCAATAGTATGTAAGTATCACATTATTTTTTTTGTCTTACCACTATTGAAATGTGATGTTATTATATTTTCTAATTGATGATATATCATGAAGATATTGTGGACTTTTTGTTGCTGCATACGTTGGATTTTTAAGTGATGGACTACAATTAGTTCTGAAACTCTTCGCATGAGATATGCTTCACTCCTATGGAATTATGGGATTTTAAAGGCTCGGAGTGGCTATGTTAGTAACAATGAAGACCCACAGAGGCCTAGACCTAAAAAAGCAAAGTTCGATAAAAATGTTGTGGTTACCACCATTGATTAGATTGATGATTATGTATACCATTGTGAATTACCTTTTTGTTGATAAGTTGTATAAAATAATTGGTGAAGTGTTCATTTTTGCTGATACTATTAATATTAATGATTATTATTTTTATTTTTATTTTGTTGGAACAAATGTCAATTATGATGGAAATGAAGAAATGTGGTGTCTGTGACAACATATATAACCTCTGTTGTAAAAAATACCACAAAATTATCTGCATATGCCCCAATAAAAAGGATATATGTGGCAACATATGTCACAGAAAAAAGATATGTGGTAACTTATGTCACATAAATGAGAAATGTGGCAACATTATATTGTCAGTAATTATTCATTTTTGTTGATAATATTAATATAATAAATTATTATTATTATTATTATTTTGTTGGAACAAATGTCAATTATGATAGAAATGAAGAAATGTGGTGTTTGTGGCAACATATACAACCTCTGTTGTAAAAAACACCACAAAATTATCTGCATGTGCCCCAACCAGAAATGATATATGTGGCAACATATGTCACACTTTGAATTGTCAAAATTACAAAAAAAATTAAAAATGTTTAAAACAATCGTCCCTTCATTTTTCCGTCTCTCCACTCTCTCCTCTTCTCTATAAAAGGTCATTTCGTTTCATATTCCAAATTTAATTTATTTTTACTAATTTCCATTTTCAAGAAGGTTAACCCCAAAAAACACATTTTAGGATATACATATGTTACCACATATGACATGTATGTTGCAATTTTTCCAACAGAACGTGCATATGTTGCCACAGATGACGCTTTAATGATGGGTTAATCGATAAATTGAGCGATTTAGGAATGGAAAAATATCAAATTGAACCAAGTTTTAGTACATTGGACCATAATTAAGCAATAAAAATATAGTTGTAACACTTGGAACAACGATTTACAAGGGTGTTATATAACTATCATATGGAGTTACTTGGTCATTGTATGAAGAACTAGTGATATGATAGTCTTTGTAAAAAATAATTGATAGAATTGATGATGGTTGTTGTATTAGATCATAATTTTGTACTTAGACATGTTGTAGGACTATATATTAGTGTTACATGTTGAATTAGGTGACAATTTAATTGAATTAACCCCCAAAAGATCATTTTAGGATATACATATGTTGCCACATATGACATGTCTATTGCAATTTTCCCAACCTCCAACAAAACGTACATATGTTGCCACATATGTCACTTCAAGGATGGCTTAATCAATAAATTGAGCGATTTAGGAAAGGAAAAATTTCAAATTGGACCAAATTTTAGTACTTTGGACCATAATTAAGCAATAAAAATTTGCTATAACACTTGAAACAACGATTTATAAGGGTGTTACATAACAATCATATGGAGTTACTTGGTTATTGTATGATAAACTAGTGGTATGATAGTCTTTGAAAAAATAATTGATAGAATTGATGAATGTTGTTGTATTAAACCATAATTTTATACTTAGACATGTTGTAGGACTATATATTAGTGTTACATGTTGAATTAGGTGACAATTTAATTGAATTAACCCCAAAAACACATTTTAGGATATACATATGTTGCCACATATGACATGTCTGTTGCAATTTTTTCAACAGAACGTGCATATGTTGCCATAGATGACACTTCAATGATGGGTTAATCGATAAATTGAGTCATTTAGGAATGAAAAACTATCAAATTAGACCAAATTTTAGTACTTTGGACCATAATTAAGCTATAAAAATATGCTATAACACTTGAAACAACGATTTACAAAGGTGTTATATAATTATCATATGGAGTTACTTGGTCATTGTATGAAGAACTAGTGGTATGATAGTCTTTGTAAAAATAATTGATAGAAAATTTCTTATTCTTCCTTCCCATCTTGAAGAAAATTAAATGAAAGGACCTAAGTTGTGTTCTTCTTATATAATCCCAAAGTAATGAATGTGAAAAGTTGCAACTTCGGAAGACGAACCACATTTTAGGATATACATATGTTGCCACATATGAAATGTCTGTTGCAATTTTTCCAACAAAATGTGCATATGTTGCCACATTTGTCACTTCAAGGATGGGTTAATCGATAAATTGAGCGATTTAGGAATGGGAAAATGTTAAATTGGACAAAATTTTAGTACTTTCAACAATAATTAAGCAATAAAAATATGTTATAACACTTGGAACAA